GCGCACCCATTGCGGGAATAACTAAACGGCGTTCCGGGTTATTTGCTGTGTATGCTTGTCAATCTGATTCGATTCCAGACTTATCCCCCGCTAACAATCAGAATCCTCACTGTTACAGGACTACCGATGCTCCGAACGATGTTCTCGATAGACTGCGGAGGTTAGAGGAAGCTGTCTTTGGACCACCCGATGCCAGCCAACCTGCACTTGGACTCAGCAGACCAACCGCAAATGGTGACGGAATGCGAGATGTCTCCCCAAACACTCCGATTACCTTGCAAGAGAGCGAGCAAACTGACTGCGCCACGGCCTGTGACTCCGTCTCGCCTGTAAGTAGCCCACAGATTTTCAATCGTTGTCCAATCTTGACAAAGAAGAACAGGAATCAGGTTATCATAATGTTCGATTCCGGTTTGCCGAGTCGTCTCGACTGCCTGGAACTTCTTCCAGCAGCCTAACGGATGACCTTCCCAGTCATACCATGTTGGGGACCTCTGTCAAGTCCATCTGGCTGCCAAGCAAGGAAGGGATCCTGGCATTGCTAGATGATTACCTTCAGGGACAACACATGTTTCTCGGCATCATCGACCCAAGGGCGGTGCGAAGCCTCATCAGTCACGTTTACTCTGACCTGCCACACCGGAAGAGTTTGGAGTTATCCCAAGTTGCGCTTCTGCTCGCTATTGCAGCCACAAGCGCATTTTTCTGGGACAAGGAAGATGGCCGCTTAAAATACCAGTTCTCGTCGGCTTTCGATGCGGCCAACTGGTCCGTGTTCTGGCGCAATTCAGCCTGGGACCTGCTCGACCAGCTGCGGCGCGATGTTGCGGGATCATTGGAGGAACTGCAGGCGACCTGCATCCTCGCCCACTTGATCTCTCAAATTGAAGGCTGCCCATCAAGGTATCGCCGACTTCAAGGAAACGCCATCACCATTGCCCGCGAAATATCACTGCACGTGGTGGATGCTCCGAATGCCTTCCTGCCATGGGATAGGCATGGGGAGTCAGGCAATGACATTACACTGTACCAGACTCGCGACAGTGAATCCGTAAAGGAAATCAAGAGGCGGGTTTGGTGGCACCTTGCTGGCACCGACTGGCTCCTGTCTGTCATGGGCGGCCCGCTCTACAAGTCATACACAGTCAATCCACTGCACATGAACGTCCGATATCCGCGAAACATCAACGACGAGGACCTACAAAGCCTGGTGCCTTGGCCGAATGATGACCCAAGAGAGTGGCCGGATACGACCGTTGAACCGCCGACTACTTTTACTTATTCCCTTCTGCGCCTACGTGTTGCTGAGATTTGCTACAAAATCGTCGACGCCCTGCCACCAATCTGCTCACGGCATGGATCGAGCAGCGGCGGGATCGAACAACTGCCGTATGACGAGATCGTCAGGATTGACCAGCTTTTTGACCAAGTTCTTACTTCATTCCCCGCATCATACGGTCTGGGCGCACCGATATCGCCTGGTGCGCCCGCTGATCTTGACCTCCAACGACAAGTGCTTCTATTATTCTTCCATGCCAGACGAGCTCGGATATTCCGGCCATTCTTACAACTTGGTACCCAGGTCCATACTGGTCGGAAAAAAGGGTCAAGGCAGAATGGCCCTCAAAGTTGGGACTTGAAGTATGAAAGGTTCTCTCGAGTCTGTAGAGACTCCGCTCGTATAGTCCTTGCCATCACATCTTCCCTTGTCGGTAGGGGCGGTGTTGGCAACGCGGCAGAAACATTTGGTGCTGTCGGTCAGCAGCATTCTCAGAGACCCAAGATTGTGCACCGCAGCGGTCTGATCCTGATGCATCTCTTCATGGCCTGCGTGATTCTTGCTACCGATCCCACCTTGTCACCCAGTGATCCGGATCAGACAAATGATGTATCGGCTCGACGAAGGGAACTTGCGCAAGGATGTTTTCTCCTAAAAATGGCAGGGGAAAGGTCTTCGATGGCCTCTGGTCTGATGGAGACTCTGACCATGATACTGAACCGGCACAAGTTACGCGTGTTCTGCAACCAAGACCGTCCTGACCTCGAAAAACAACACAGTTTGGAACAATTCTCTCCAGTTGAACCGACGCCTCTTGCGTTGCAGCAACAAAATAACCATGTTCCTTCTCAGCAACCGTTCACTGGGAGTTTTATTACTTCCGATATCGACGATCGAGAGGCGGTGAGCGACATCTGGGACATAGATCGGTTGCAGGAACGGATTAGAGCGCAGCATGCCCAACAGCTTAAGCACAAGCCAGCTGCAGCGGCCCCAGTGCAGTCACAGTCACTTCGACCGGCAGAAAAGCAAAGCGCCGGCTATCAGGTCGACACCCCGTACGCGCCTCAGATTCCATCTCCGGCGCAAAGTGAGATTTTGCCGCTTGATGGGCTCTGGAAAGATCTCGTCGATGCGGCGTCTGGTTCGTTTGGCGGAGATGCGTCCTTTCAGAATTCGAACATGGATGGGCAACTTTTTGGTGGAAACTTCGACGATGGCACCCAGTGGGATCATTTGTTTGCTGATTTGGAGTATTTCGTGGGGCCCTCGTAAATGTGGACTCTTATGGCCCATGGGTATGTACAGTGAAGTGCTCCTAACATATCAAACAAAGCAAATCAGTCAAATCCAAAGATCGTAAGATTTGCTTTGTTTGATCCTCTTTTTTTGTCCAATTTGCTTTGTTTGAATTTGAGTCATTTGATTTATTAGGAGCACTCTTGTACACAAGGGGTTTCTGACTTGAACTTGCTGGTCAGTTCCATTCTGTCGAGACCTGGTATGTTTATTAGGTGGCTGGTGGCTTATCACTCCGCTCACTTGTCCCAAACCGCTGGGACGATTAAGATTTCCGATGGGCCAGGAACAGGGGTGGTGAGAAATGAAGTGGCTCCAAGAGCGGATGACGAGAAATTTGGCCGGCCCTCGAATTATACTGCGGGTTGTATCACTCCAACTTTCAAGGCAATATTCCTTCTTCTGTGCCATTCTTGCTACACGGCATTCAGTGACACAGTGTCGGCGTTCATTTGCGTCAGCAACTCGGTCATTTCAAGACCCCGTCGAGGAGCAATCCTACCCTAGCAGAGACCCCCGCAGAGACCCCAGTGACCCTAACGCCGTCCGACAAGGTTCTGTGTTGGCTAAAAAGTAGGCAGTGCGGGGGGGAAGGATCTCTCTACGCTTACCCAATATATACCTATGCGAGTCTCTCTCATTACGTCGAGCCATTGTGAGAAGCCATCTCATCAGTCCCGTCGCCGCAAAGTCACTCGGGAACACAAACATCGAGGATTCGACACGACATCAACTGGTCTTGACTGGTTAAAACTCAAGATTCTCACCAACGCATCGCAAAGATGATGATGCAACTTTTCGCCGTCATTGGCGCCCTCGCGACCCTCAACTTTGCCAAGAACGCCTACCAATTCCTCACCTTCCACTTTGTCAAGCCCGCCAAACCGTTGTCCTCGTACAAGAGGACGTCACAACCCCGTGACGATACCGAGGACGAAAAGACCACATGGGCGCTCATAACCGGCTCGTCAGCGGGAATAGGTCTCGGCATCGCCCAGGAACTCATCCTCCAAGGGTTCGGTGTGATTCTCCACGGCCACCTGCCAGTCGAACTGGCAGAAGCAAAAGACCATCTCCTCAAATACGGACAATCCCATCCACCACGTAAACAAGTCAAGTCCACGCCGCCGCCTCAAATCGAGATCCGAGTCCTAGACGCACGAACAGCCACAGACGACGACCTCACCTCCCTAGTCAATTCGCTCTCCCATCTGGACGTCTCAATCCTGGTCAACAACGTCGGAGGCAACGCAATAAGGGAACCCAACTTTCTCGAAGTCAAAGACATGACAACCCGCGATATCGACAGCGTAATCGACCAGAACGCGCGCTTCATGAGCCGACTAACCTGTCTTATACTTCCCTCCCTCGCCAAGAATCCCAAAGCCCTAATCATCAACTTCTCCAGCGCAGGAAAAGTCGGCTGCCCCTGGCTAGTAATGTACAGCGCTACCAAGGCCTTTAACCACGGCTTCTCAGTCGGTCTAGGCCGAGAACTCAAGTTAAACCCCCAGACGAAGCACATTGATTGTATTTGTGTCATACCGCATGAAGTCAAAAGTCAGGGGAACAGCAAAGGCGTACCGGGGAATGCACCGAACTGGGATGATTTTGGACGGGAGATTGTTCAAAAGGTGGATAATGCTGTTAGGAGGGGGGAATGGGAGATAAGACCGCATTTGGGGCATGGGATTGAGGCGGGGATCTTGAATGGCGGGTTGGATTGGCTTGTTTGGTGGATTCCGGGGCTGGATTGGAATGCCGTGCTGGAGAAGGGGTTTGTTGATACCATTCGGAGGAAGAGGGATGCTTGGTGGGAGTTTAAGGGCGCGAGGGTGAATGAGAATGGGCTTTGGGATGGTGGGAACGGGAACTTGGAGACTGTTGGGAATGGGAATGGGAATGGTGCCAAGGTTGTAACAGAGGATGGAGGTGCGACTAGAAAGGTTAATAATGGCGATGGAAGGAAGCATTCGGAGGATTGATTGGTTCAAAAATAGTTCGGCTGGTAGGAACTGAGAGGACGATGTGAGACCGTTGAGCCTGGCGTGTGGATTGTTGGTGATCTTGATATGGAGTAGATAGATGGACGGAAGGAAGAACCTGCCTGCTTTCCAGGTGTCAAAAATGCACAAAAGGAGAAGCTCTGGGCTTCCATCTCGGATACGGGGAGTCGAACCCCGGGCTAGTGAGTGAGAGTCACTGATGTTACCGCTACACCATACCCGATTGCTGTAAGCCGGGAATGGCTTCCGATTTGTTGCTGTTGACGGTTTGTGGGAGTATGTGGATATATGAGGACGGGTTGTGCCGTTAGGTGGAGGGAGAAAAAAAAGGTAAAAAGTCAAAGTGGACATGTATGTGGATCTCTCGCAGCACGAAGTTCCCAGGGCTTCAAAAATGAAAGGAAAATGCAAAAGTAAGGTCGTGCCCGGGTTCGAACCGGGGTTACTGGAAGAGAATGACTCGAAATTGGATTTCCTCATCAAAATCCAGAGTGATAACCACTACACTACACAACCTTTCCTTGGCATGTCTTCTGGTTGGTGCGCCGTCAAGACTTGGCGGCTTTTGTTCTTTCCTCCACAGCTCCCCGGACCCCACTCCTCAGAAGCCTCACCGGGCCACCGGCCAACCTTTAGCCCCTGGCTTGGCAAACAAACGTTAGGACTAGCCCCTGAACACCCGCCAGCCTCTGAGGTCATCCACCAGTCCTCCCCGTTTTGATATTTACCACAACCAAATATCATCAGCATCTCTAACGACCTTGCCATCTCTCTTCTCCGCCTCGACAGCATCTTTCTTCCAAAGCCAAATGGCATCCGCATCAGCTGCGGTAGGAGCCCTCACGATCTTATCCGTCACCTCACGCTTCTTCCAAAGCCAAATGGCATCGGCATCTTTGGCCAACGCCTCGGTGTCCTTCTTCCACAGCCAAATGGCATCAGAGTCCTTAGCCAGTGCGTCGGCGTCCTTCTTCCAGAGCCAGATAGTATCTGCATCAACGGCAGCATCACGTTGGAGCTTGCCAATGACGGCGTCCTTCTTCCAGAGCCAGATGGCATCTGCGTCTTTGGCGAGACGGGTCTTTCCGGTGGTGCTGTCTTTCTTCCAGAGCCAGATTGCATCTGCGTCGCTGGGGACGGCATCAGCATCCTTCTTCCACAGCCAGATTGCGTCGGCGTCTTTGGGGGCTGCGTCTTTCTTTGCTGTAGAGTTTGTTAGTGATGAAGATAATGAGAAAAGAAAGAATGACATACCAACGTCGCCGGCGGTTGGGGCAGCGTTGACAAAGGCCAGGATCAACGGGGCCACGATGGCGAGATTCCTGAGGAGCTGCATCTTGGGTTTTCTGAATGCTAACTTTTGTGTGATTTAGCTGTTCAAGTATCGAGAGAATGGTCGGTTTCGCCAAATTTCTATCGTCGGAGACAGACTGACAGACTGACAGAGAGCCAGATAACACGGGATATAAACGCTCATATCCAGGAAATTCCATTTGCCTCCTCTTCGGAGAGAAACGCAATCGACCGATCAGATCAACCGATCAACATCGACAACAACGTTACACACTTTCACCGACCTTCCCGTTCCGGAGTCAAAACTCGCGAGCGCCTGTACCCGAAACATCCGAGTCCAGGGTCGAGGTCATTATCTCGATCACGTAAACAGCCAGCCCCGCATCTTACTCGCCGTCGGCGTTCTACAAACTACGTCAACATATCCCATCTCCTACGAGAAACGGCATGATCCTTCAAAGATGCGGTGAATAGTCGCCACTTGCGGACGAATCAGAATCCTTGGAAGTATCAAACATGGAGCAGGTAAGCTTGCGGGGTAGAACGATCATCGTGATGTTTTAGGAAGGACGATAACATCTGTAGTTTTGATTAGGGAGATACGAGACTACGAGTAAGGATAAGCTTTCCTCCCGGGGTTCGATGTTGCAGTCAGCGAGCGGCCGCGTGGGTCCGGAGCATTACGAACCCTTGCCACCTCACAGTGAGCGCTTAATCAGAGTTTGTGATCAAGACTAGTTCCTCTCACTTATATCGAGATCTTTGGATGTGTTTTTTTCTTTGCCATCAGTCCGTATCTTGGCCAGTTCCCCCTTCCAAGACCTTAACTTCTATCTCTGCCTCTAAGGCTTTGTTCTCTTTGACTTTGCTGGTTGACATTCTCACCATTTCCCGAACTTTTTCCTCATAACTTCACTCAACCCTGCATCATGGGCGTTTTCGAAAAGAAGACCGAGGCAGAGTACTCGCCCATCGAGTCAGACCGGTCAGCAAGCTCGTCCGATGGCTTCCTCTACGATGGCGAGCACCCGGCATTTCAACGACCAAAACCGTCTCCAAGGAAGAAGCTATACCTCGCCCTCGGAGGTCTCACGGTCCTCGTGATATACTCACTGGCCTTGATATCCGCTACATCAGCATGGTGGAAACGAGAAATGAAACACGGGGCCAACGTTATCGACAGTATGCCATGTCCATCCCAATCAGCTCTCTAAATCCCTTGGCTTACAGCGGCACTATTAGGTCCAATCAGGGAGTACATCAACTACGAGCCCATAATCTTCAAAATGACCGAAACATCCAAAGATTACCAGCTCGTCGGCCAGCCGAGCGACGAGCTCGACAAGCGATGGTCCAACTTGATGCAGTACTTTTATGCCCAGGTTCCCGCGGAGTACATGAGGAAGCTTGGCCGCGAGAAGACGGGCATTCGGCTCGAGAATGGGAATTACCTCGCCAACTATGCCTGGGTTCACCAGTTGCATTGCATTGTATGCTTTTCACATCATCCGTCCCCTTCTAAATCTTTTCCAAGGAAGGCTGGTTAGGAGCTAACACGATGACAGAAACGCCTCCACCAAGCGCACTTTCAAGAGCGGTACTACCCCCACATGACTGACTTCGAAAGAAAACTACAAACCGAACACAGCCGTACGATTCTTCCTTCCCTTCCCCCTTTACATGTATTCTCCCCAGTCCCCAAAGCTAACAAGGCGTCATCACAAAAAGTGCACTGCCTCCAAATGCTCACAGAAGCAATAATGTGCAAAGCAGACGAAACCCCCCTGACAATGATCTGGTTCGACAACAGCATCCTGCCGGGAGGAAACCGGACAATCGCGCACGAATGTGTCAATTTCGAGCTGCTCTTGGAGGGGATGGACAAAGCCAAGGTTGACCCGTTCGAACCGGGCGTGTTGGTTCACCCCAAGTTTGGACCTGTGCTGCCGGACGGGAGGAATACCACGCTTGATAACCGGATTGGGTATATCTTTGATCCTGTTCCGTTGGATCGGGATGTTTATCCTTGATTTTTCTGTTGGATGTGGGTACTTATGCTCAAGGGTTGATGGGTTTAGTTAGGTTGGTTTGCAGAGCTTGGTGGCATGTGGAAAGGTACCTAGTTGAACATTGTTGTCTTTGTCGATGCAATGTTATTGTACAAACAACACATCGACTTGGCCTATTCTGCATTATCAAGGCCCTTTGATGTCACGAGAAAGGGCCCCAGATTAGGTAGTTCAAGTTGGCTATTTCACCTTGGGATGCTCTACATATGCAGAACTGTGGCGGCCTGTGAATGACGTTGTCCGAGTTTGATAGCTTCATATTGGAGGCGTGATGTTGTTGGGAGAGTGGGGTGTTGACGACTGAGTAATGCGAGTGAGCCAGGGTTAGGGTTATAGGTGCTCCGTATATCGCGGTAGGCCCGTCTCGGGAACCGACACCAGTTTCTCGTTGCGGCGCGTAGCCAATCATGGAATTTCGCGATAGATCCAATCAACCGGAAAGGAATAATGATGTCGCGAGACCCAAGAGGGGCTGGGGAGGGTGGGATGCATGATGCAAGACTCAGCCCCAGAGACACATCACGATCATGACCCGAGCCACCTTTTTTCTCATGTTCAAGCGCATGGACTGAGCAGATATCGACCCAAAACGAATCGATTCCATTTTTTCAGCATGGCAATAGGAACGGTAACTGATACTGGGCTATCAGTTGTTTATGAGCCTGAAGAGCCGTCGGCGGCCATTGTTGAGTTAGTGTCCCCCGCTTCCTCCGTATCCGTATTCAGAGCCTGATATTGACTCTTGGCAACAGCATTGTCCTCGTTCACGGACTCCAAGGTCATCCGCGAGGAACCTGGACCAAAGGAAAGGTCCCTAAAAGCCCTCGTCAACATCAATCGGTGTCAGAGTCTGGAAACTCGTTGGAAGAGAAGAAGGCAAAAAGTGGGCCGTTGTCTTGGATATCCAAGAAACTCAAGCGAAAGTCGTTGGGGTTTGGACAAGGTGGCATCGATGGCAACAGGGTCAATCAAGAGAGTTCTCAACAGGCAGCAATACCTTCCTTGGCCGCGTCTTCTCGAAACACGACGAATGTGTCGATCGCGACTGCCTCGGGGAGCAAGGTTGGCGTATTTTGGCCTGCCGACTTGCTTCCGCAAGCCTGTCCACGTGCACGAGTACTCGTGTTTGGGTATGATACCAAGATAACCAACTATGGAGCGGCTTCGACAAACAAGAACAGTATTTATTCTCATGCCAAGGATCTCTTATTCGCCTTGTCACGCGAGACGGAGGGTTGTGTTGGCCCTGCCGGCAAGCCGCAGCAGGTCATTTTCGTGGCCCATAGTCTTGGTGGTATTGTGGTCAAAGAGGTAAGCATGTTCCAGGACTCGCCATCTTTACCAGTCACTGACACCTGTGCTTGCTGCAGATGCTGTCACGATCTTCAACCTCGACGGAGCCTCAACATGCCCGGATTGTGGAATCGACAGCAGGAGTGGTGTTCCTGGGCACGCCCCACAGAGGGAGTCCAGAATTTGCTGCAGCAGGTGATTGGGCCAGAACCTTTGTCAACTTCTTCGGTGTAGAGACGAATCCAGCTATGCTGCATGCCCTGGGCTTGAAGACGACCGATTTGGAACGGGCCCAGGAATCCTTTTCGGGCCTCTGGCTCAAACATGGTTTTCGTGTTAAGACCTTCCAAGAGGGTCTCGGGTTGACCGGCCTAAGTATTGGAGCGCTGGGGAGTAAAGTGGTGCCGGCTTACTCATCTTCGTTGGGCGATCATCGAGAACACGCCGAGACCATTCAAGCGAACCATCGTGAGATGTGCCGATTTTACGGCGCTGATGACCCAGGTTACCGGCAGGTATCTAGCGAGCTGCGTTCCATCTACCAGACGATGGAAAAGCATGTCGGCCCTCCAATGCGGTTGCCTGCATCAGTACAGCCTCCCAGTATCACATCTTCAGTTAACAACCACCCGCCCTCGGTGATGGGCAGCATGCCGATTAGTGTGAACTCTCTTGACCTCTGGGGAATAGACAAAGTCCCATTTAACGAGGCTGAGAAGGCTCTCTTGACGAGTTTGTGGTACCCCAACATGAACTCGCGGAGGAGAATGGTGACCACTCCAGCGGACGGAACATGTGACTGGCTGTTTAACGACCCGGCCTACATCCATTGGATAAAGGGTCATACACAACAATCCGATC